CATGACGTCACTAACCAGTAGGTGGCAGTAGTGTTCTTTGACAAACATGGATGCCTCCAGTAAAGCACATTCACATGAAAATTACTCTGAATTAAAAACACTGATCATTTATTGAACAGGATGGAATCATTTCACATTTAAAGAACTTTTAGAAGTTTGTAAATGTTTACAACGGGCAGAAAGTGCTTCCTGTATGAGCTCCCGTCACTCATCCATCCACAGTAATGTCCGGACGCTTTGCTCATCATAGAACTAGATCAGCTAGGAGGAAACAGCAACCTTCTTAGGAGAGTTTTTTTTCCTCTTTAAATCAAAAACTGCTTGTGCTGCTTCCCCAAAGACTGTGCTACTCTGGGCGGAGAGTCCCAGCCGACCGTGTGCAGAGGATGTGATATGCAGCGGCCATATTTTAGTAAAGATGTGATTGGCTGGGATTAGAGAAACTCTAGATTCATAATTCAGGAGGACGGTTCCTCCGGGAGAAGCAGAGAAAACCAGCCACCTGGGAGTCTGAGCATGATGTTGATGAAAAGCCTTTCTCCGTGGTCAGCGGACCGTCCTGCTCGTTGTCGCTCTGACTTTGTGTATTTTTGGTCTGAAGCCACAGAGAGCAAAGGGCCTGAGCTGCTCCTGTAATTGGCTCAGACGGCAAAGTTCAGAGAAAGTCATTTAAGTACAGCCGCCATGACAACCAAACCCTGAAATTAGGAAGATTTGATTCCTGCAAAACCCCCAAACATGGAGCTGGTGTCTTTGTGGGGACACCTTCATTTATAGACATGCTTTGATCACATGTCTTTTTGTGTCTCAGGTCAGAAGGACGTTTGGTCATGGTTTGCTGCGGCATCGTGGGATTTTGGCTCCTAACATGTGGAGAAGAACAAACATGTGTTCAGCAGGGGCGGATTTAGGAAATGTGGGGCCCTAGCAAAGACAGGCAGGGGGCCCTCTGAATGGAGACGACAACACATCAAACAGCCCCATTCTCCAGATATAGAAATGTTAATAGAATAGACATCCATTATCTGTTCTAGGTTGTGTCCCTCTCTTCTTGTCCCTTTTCTTCTTGTTTTCCTCTCTATGTTTTGTACTCAGCTGACTTTTCATGCTGTCTCTAAAGGAATGAAAGATTTATTCCAAGCACTAAGCTCACTTAGCTGATTGCTCCTTCCTGTGTTTCCAAAAAGGCCAAAGTAAATAACCCAGTCCTTCTTTTCACTGTAGACAAGCCATGATCTGCTTATCTGTTCTCCATTTTTCATTTGGATGAAATAATAGCTGCATGAATCATGACAGCAGACAAGATAGAGGAGAGCAGGAGGCGGGGTTACCAATCTACTCGCTCTAGAGAGCAGAGTTCGCTGCTTTTAGATGTTGTCTCCAAAGTCTCCAGTAGCAGAAAAAAGTCTCTAGATTTGGTGCTCGGAGCTTTTTAGAAATCAAAGTGCTAGAGGGGTCTGAAAAGTGGCTAAATATAGCGACTAAAGCGCTAAGTTGGCAACACTGCTCTTTGCATGGTTTGTTTTCAAATGGTTTGCTGCTGTCTGTTTGGACCTTTCTGATCATGTGCAGCAAATGGACTGATCCAATATGGTGGACACTGAAGGGGGGGGGGCTCAGGAGGAAATTCGCTCATTCGCTTCGCGCTCACCTTCATTTTCCTTCCGCTCCACGCTCCCACAGATTTTCTGACATTTTTCCTTCCTGTAATGATGTCAGGGCGCTGCGACACACGGCGTTTGATTTAATGATGTGACCGATTCATGTGGATCGTTTTATTTAACTGGCTGTTAAATGATGGCAGCTGTGAACGTAACACCTCGCTCCTTCATGTTGTTTCCTCTTTAATTATTCATTTATTTTAAAAAGGTCACTCTGAGTTCCATTGCAAATTAGTTAATTCCGAATGATGCATGTATGCAATCCATTTTCAAAAACAGGCCCTAACCCACTCTGCATTAAGTGTAGATAGTTAATGTTTTGACCATATTTTATCCCACTTTTTATCAAACAATATGCAATCCTCATGTCTGCGATTATGTGGTAAAGTTGAAACATAGACTTAGATAAATGTTATAATCCAACTTTTTAAATGACATTGTGAGCGCATCGGAGCGAACTGACCTTTGAATTGAAAACCGCATATTTCTTCTGCTCTGCTCACATGCTCTGGCTGAGACACACTTAATATTATCAGCGTTCTGACGGCATTTTAGTCAAAGGATTTTTATCAAAAACATAATTAATGTGCAGAAATAAGGAATAGTTGTATTAAGCATACATGGAAACAGAGTTTTATGGGGCCCCCAGGAACATGGGGCCCTATAGGCACCTGCCTGGTATTGCCTAAAGGTAACTCCCCCTCTGAGTGGACCGGCTCGCTTTCATCTCCTGGTTGGTTCCTTGTGAGAAGAAAAGGTTCCCATTCATTCTCCTCAGTTTCTTCCAGTGATTAATCCCACTAGCGGCCCTCAGCACCACAGAAACCAGCACCTCCCCTTCACAATCAACCCATCACTATAATAGATTAATGTGACACTGATGAAAAGATGAAGGTTCTGTCATTGATTCACTGCTTGGGTTTGATGCTCATATGGGAAAAAAAGCTGCTGGTCTGGATAAGGTGAAGACACAAACACCCGGAAATCTGATGGATCTAAACAGTCCATTAACGGGGTCCCTGGGGGCCACAAGGGAGGAGGGGGCGATGATGAAGAGGAGGAAGGAGGAGGAGGATGGAGGCATGGGTGTTTCCGATTGTTAACATACCAACGGTGAGATAAAGAGCCTGCAGCAGAGCAGGCTGACACTCTGCCTCCTACAGGCAAAGAGCTGCAGCTGCAGAAAGTGCATGGAGCTTTCAGTAAATAACTCTGAAAGCCAAACAATGTTTATTCATTGAAAAGGTTCATTGTGCTGCTTGTAGAAAAGGCCAACAGAGACAAACAGCCCTGCTGAACGTTATTAACATTCAGTCCATGAAGATGAAAACAGCCCTGACGGTGTTTTATTGTCAGCAAGCTGGTGGAGATTCTCAGTCATCCAGGTCAGAGTCATTCCCAAAAAACGTTCAAAAACAATCCGCTGGACTGAAGACGTTTCGCTTCACATCCAGGAAGGTTTTTCAATTCAAAATGTCAGAAATAGCGTTTAGTTCCAGGTTTTATAGAAAACAAGGCGTTGTTGGGCTGCTGTATGAAGCCTCCAACATCCAGGAAAGTCAGAGCTTCCTGGAAGCGAAACGTCTTCAGACTTGGAAACAAAGATCAGTGGATTGTTTTTTAACCTTTTTGGACAGTTAGCATGTTGTGTTTTTAGGCTTCTGGTTTCATTCTTCCTTACATCGCAGCCAAACTTCTTATTTTATCATTTTTTATCCACCAATTTAAAACAAAATATGGCTTTACCAGATGGTCTTAAGGGTTTATTTCATCTATAAAGGTCATTTTCTAATGTAAACACAGATAATTCAGCTGCTTTCTATTGTTGTTGGTGCAATATTTCTACATTTCTAAAGTAAACCTCTTCATATTACTTATTTACCTTTATTTTAAACATTAAGCAACAAATATATACATTTTTCCTTCAAAAGCTAAAGCTCCATTATAGGATAAGCAGATTTTTACAAAAATCATAAAAATAAAGGACTTCCTGCACTGGAAAAAATCGAAATCTAAATAAGTAATTTTTTCTTAAAATAAGTGAATTAGTTCTTGGATTGAGGAGGTAAAAGAGATTTTGCAAATGGAAGCAGGAACATTTACATTTCAAATAAGAAAACACAATTTTATTGTCTTATTTAAAGTGCATATTATCTAATTATCTTATTTTAAGAGTAACTATCTTATTTACCCACTGAAATAAGAATTTCTTTCTTATTTCTAGATTGTTTTTCCAGCGTGTCCACTCCTTGATTAGGGTTATTTTTTAAGCATAATTTGATGTAATCTGGTTCTAATCTGACCTGTAAAAGTTCAAATGTATTAATATTTTGGGTCCAAACAGGAACCAGAACCAATCAAACAAATACTGAAGTGATTTGAGTCTTTTAAAGATCATTTATGTCTCATCAAAATCATCTTATTTATCTGCTAAAATTAAGGGTAAATACACTTAATTTAAGATCGTTTTAGATCGTTTTTGCAGTGTGGTGATCTTTGACTAACTGCAGTAAATCTGTAATGGTTCAGTACACTGCAAAAAATTAAATCTAAGGAATTAATTTCTTTCTTGAATTGAGGAGGTAAGTAAAACACTTTGCAGATGGAACAAGATCATTTATATTTAAAACAAGAAAAATCTATTGTCTATTTCAAGAGCACATTATCTAATTATCTTGTTTTAAGAGTAAAATCACTATTGGCAAATCATCTTATTTACCTACTTAAATTAAGGGTAAATGCACTTAATTTAAGATTTTTTCTAAACTTATTTTATGTATTGTTTTTGCAGTGTACCAGTGATTATAGCTTCGGTCCTGTGGAAGAACTGGAAGCAGCTTGGTAATGAAAGGAGACCTGAAGCAGACTTTGGATGCTCAGAGAAACAAAATGTTCCACCTTTTTTTTCTCACCTTCTCACAGCAGCAGTAAACTGCAAAAATCTAAATAAGTCTTTTTTTTTCTTAAATGAAGTAAAAATTTTTCTTGACTTGAGGAGGTAAGTGAGACACTTTTTCAATGGAACAAGACAATTTACATTTAAAATAAGAATTAAAAAACAATTACATTGTCTTATTTTAAGAGTAAAAATACCCATTCCATTGGGAAATCATCTTATTTCCCTTCTCAAATTAAGGGGAAATACAGTTAATTAAAGAGATTTTTACTTATTTCTGGGTTGTTTTTACAGTGTAGGCCCTTTACATCATCTCACAGTAAACCAATGGTCTGAAAACCCTTCAAATGTTATATTTTAAATCTTTAGTTGGACAGATGTTCTGTGCTGTAAAGAATTTATTCCAGCATAGACGAAGCAGAGGCTGTAAACGAGCTCGTTACCTTTCTGTTTGTCCATGTCTGTTTGTCTCAGCGCCGGCTCATCTCCAGTCTCATGTCTCTGCTGAAAGAATCCAAAGCAGCCGGCACAACTCCTCCCTGAACTCCCTCTGTTGGCTCTGTGGGAAGCAGTTTGAGGTCCAACAGCCGGGTGCTGCCTGTGCAAGACCTCAGTGCACGGAGGAGGAGGAGGAGGAGGAGGAGGAGGAGGAGGAAGAGGAGGACCAACAATCTCATTATTTGTTAGCCAGAAAAACAAGCTTAGATTCTGAAATTCTCTCTCTGACTTCTTTCAGATGTGACTGACTTTATTCTGCTGATTTCCTCCTCTGTCCTCTCAGCTTTAGTTCACTTCATTCTCTGTATTTTAGTTTGTGAAACATTCCAGTATGGTTTTAGCTTTTCCCACACTGTTATGATTTAATTCCTCCTCCCAGCAGTCAAAATGCATGTTCTGTGGTTGTGCATTCAGGGAAGGAAAGGTTCCAGAGGTTATTGGTCCCAATCTTCTTAAAGTGTTTCACCAACAGAGCGGACCTCTGCTCTCCATCCTGGACCTACAGAGAATAGTTTAATCCAATGGACCAGAAAGCCCATTAACAACAGCAATAAATAACAAAAGCAATTAACCAAAGACACCGGCCTGCATCTGGACAGAGAAAAGCCGCCCAGTGGACAACTTTATCAGAATCAGAATCGGGTTTATTGCCATTGTTAGTGAAGGAGTTCACAACTAGGAATTTTTTATGGTACAATCGTGCAACATGAAACATATATGAAATAGTAAATAAAATTATAAAAAACTCTAAAAAGACTGGGGTATAAGGCATGCAAAAAATATACTAATATATACACTTAGGATAAAAATATGGATAAATAAAAAAAAAAATATATATATATATATATATATATAAAAAGTAAAATGTACAAGGTAGTGCAAATAGACCAGTGTGCAATACAGCAGTGTAAATGGCATGGGCAGGTTATGGAGTCTGATATATAGTGTTCATGAGTCTTATGGCAGAGGGGAAGAAGCTGTTTTTATGCCTCCAATTTAAAAAAAATGAACTGGTGATTTCTGATGGAGGATTTTACACTGTGCCATCCCCACAAACTGGTTTTTATTCCCCACAAACTGGTTTTTATTCCCCACAAACTGGTTTTTATCCGTTATTAAACAGGATGTTTTAAATTTGAGCTCATCAACCCCTAAAAGTGGTGGTCTAGAGATTTAAGAAAGTATTTTATAATCTTTTTATTGTTTTATTGATCCAACAGCTGACATACTGGATTTAGATTATGTATAATATAGGGGATAAGAAGGTGTGAGTATGAATCTGAGGGCAGCCAGATCCATTTCCTTTCAACAATAAAGATAATCTAAATAAACAACATGAAAAACAACATAAAAACATTAATACTGAAATACTATAAAAGCTGTAAACAGAGCTGGGTGTGAATGTGGTGTGTTGGTTGTCAGAAGGACTTGGAGGGGCGCGAGAAAAATAAAAAATATATGGGATTTTGAAAAGGCTAAACTGTTATGTGAATGGATCGGTTGGAAATGGAGAAAGAAAATGAGGAAGACGTGGATTCTGAAGGCTGGACGCCATTAAAAAGAGGGAAAAATAAAACAGATGAAGGGAAGAGAAGTGGTGATATTTAAGGGAGGGAAGGAGAAGTGGAAGGAAGTAGTTCAGAAGATGAAAGGAAAGTTAGGAGGGAGGAATTTAAAGTTTATTAAAACTTAAGAACAAAGAAAAACCGGATAACATCAGCCCCATTGCCGTGTCCAGAGAAATAAAAAAGAAACTTGGAGATGTTGAAATGATAAAGATTCTGAGATGGAAATCTGTTGGTAGTCTGAAAAAATAAAGAATAAGGCTTTAAATGTTGGGAGAAAATAAAAAACTTAGAGGAGTGATTTATGGGATACCTCTAGATGAAGATCTTAATAAAATGACGAGAAGAATTGTTGGTGGAAAAGTGAATAACTTAAAGAGATTGTCAAAAACAAAAAATGGAGAAAAAAAGGAAGCTTTTCAATCCTCATTAAATGTAAGGAAAAATAGTTTCCACCAAATATCAAAACAGGTTATCTCAGTTTTACGGTCAGACCTTATATCCTTAGATCCAACACTTTGTTGCTTCAAATGTCGAAGGTCTGGAGACACAGCAGCAGTTTGAAAGGGAAGCAGAGATGTGCAAAACATCACAAGTTTAAAGAATGGAAAGAAGTACGAAAAAAATGTTGCAACTGTGGAGGAAAACGTAGAGTTACTAATGGAGGATGTGAAGTAAGGAAGAAAGCAAAGGAAAATTATACAGACTAAAAACATAAGCTTTGCAGAAGCAGCTAAAAATGTTTAAAAAACTGGAGAAAACAAAAGTAATGATATTTAATGAAAAACAAATAAACGAGGACATAAAATTAAAATTATATAGAGCAAATAAAGTATATAAAGCCTTAAGGACTGTGGTTTGGTGAGAAACTAAAATGGAATATAAATATTGAAAAGATTGTTGATAAATGTAAGAAAGTCTTAAATATTATGAGATGCTTGGTTGGCAGTGACTGGGGAGCAGATAAACAATCACTAAATCAGATTAATACAGGTATGATAAGATCTTTGGTTGAATAGTTTACAGTTCAGCAGCTAAAACACATCTGGCTAAATTAGACATTATCCAACATCTGGCATTAGGATTATTTACTGGAGCATTTAAACCACATCAGCAGCAGCAATGGGAGAAATGCTGTTAGATTTAAAAAGAACAAAACTACAAATAAATGATTGGTTAAATCTACAAGGTAATAACTCTGGAAATTTTAAATCCATAATGAGAAAAAGAAAAGAAATGAGAAGTTTTGGATGAACAAATGAAAACAAAATAAAAGAATTTAAAATGACCAATTTAGAAATTACTCAGACAGCAATATCCGTTCTACCACCATGGATTCTAGCTGAAGCAATAGTAGATAAAGAAACAAGATAAATCGCACACGGTAGATAATCATTTGAGAGAGATATTTCATAATCCTTTAGTTTTATAGTTTAAACAAGTAAATCGGAGGAAAAGAGTTTTATTCAAGAAAAACTGATGGAAAATTGGCAAAAGGGTGGGATGAAGAAAAACAGGAAGATGATTTTAAAATTCAGAAGATGGTAGGAAAAAGAAGAAATGGGAAAGAGGAGAGAGAGATAACAAGGTTAAGATTTGAGCAAACAGGACTTAATTAAACACTTTTCAACATTCAAAATCAAACTACCGGAAAATTTGATTACTGTGGAAAATCTGAAACAATAGAACATTTTATACTGGAATGTCACCAATATGAAAGAGAGAGAAGATATATGAGGAGAGAGTGTATAGATTCATTATTATAATTTATATTATTAAGGAAGAATTTAGAAAGTAAACATTTACAAATAAGTATTTGATTTTTAAAGAGAACGAAATTATTTAATAGAATTTGATTATAGAGAGGGTGAATGTGAGTATGATATAGACGGGTAGAATACAAAGTTATGTATAAGTAAGTAGTTTTTTTGTTGTTGTTTTGTTTTCTTTCTTTTTTTCATTAAAAATTATATATATGTTTATTAGTAGATAGTCCATCAAGAACCACACTCCATACCAGGAAGTAGCGGTAAGGCTACTAAATGTTTGTTGCCAACCGCCAAAAGAAAGGCGTGAACGGCGGATAGCTCCACTAGGTGGCAGCAGTAACTCTATTAGATGGAATCTGCGGTGAAAAGCAGAGGAAGAAGAAGTAGAAGCGGAAGCGTGAGACCGTGACGGATCAGCGGTTTAACAGCTCTAACCAGCAGGTTAACCAGTCTACAGGAGAACCAGACCACTGCAGCTAAGGTAAAACTACAGGTTCTGGTTCCGGACGGTCTGACAGGCTGTAGTTTGATTATTTCTGCCGTAGTTTCAGAGAAAAGTGGCCTCCTGCTGTTAGCTGTTAGCAGTTAGCCGCTTAGCTCAGAGAGGGAAGTCAGCTGATCGGCTTTAAGACTTCTGCTAAAGAAGGTAAACCGCCATGGAACCGAGTCCAGGGTCCAGACTAGCTTCCACCGGGTCGGGTTAGGGTTCTGTAAGGGAGGGGGGATCCGGTTCAAGCTGTCGGAACCGGTCCGGGTCTGATTGTTTCCCTGTTTGTCTCCTTTCCAGAGTCACGATGACAGCCGCTCCCTACAACTATTCCTACATCTTCAAATACATCATCATCGGTGAGTCCGGCAGCTCCGACCCAACAGAACCGCACTGATCAGAACCGAGCCCGCTTCACCATGACTCCTCATTAAGAACGTCTTTCAGAACCTCATTCAGTAGCTGTTAAAACCTCATTCAGTAGCCGTTAGAACCTCATTCAGTAGCCGTTAGAACCTCATTCAGTAGCCTTTAAATCCTGATTCAGTTGCCTTTAGAACCTCATTCAATAGCCGTTAGAACCTTATTCAATTGCCTTTAGAACCTCATTCAGTTGCCTTTAAGTCCTCATTCAGTAGCCGTTAGAACCTCATTCAGTAGCCGTTAGAACCTCATTCAGTAGCCGTTAGAACCTCATTCAGTAGCCGTTAGAACCTCATTCAGTAGCCGTTAGAACCTCATTCAGTAGCCGTTAGAACCTCATTCAGTTGCCTTTAAATCCTCATTTAATAGCCGTTAGAACGTCATTCAGTAGCGGTTAGAACCTCATTCAATAGCCATTTGAACCTTATTCAATTGCCGTTAGAACCTCATTCAGTTGCCTTTAAGTCCTCATTCAATAGCCGCTAGAACCTCATTCAGTAGCCGTTAGAACCTCATTCAGTAGCCGTTAGAACCTCATTCAGTAGCCGTTAGAACCTCATTCAATAGCCGTTAGAACCTCATTCAGTAGCCGTTAGAACCTCATTCAGTAGCCGTTAGAACCTCATTAAGTTGCCTTTAAATCCTCATTCAATAGCCGTTAGAACCTCATTCAATAGCCGTTAGAACCTCATTCAATAGCCGTTAGAACCTCATTCAATAGCCGTTAGAACCTCATTCAGTAGCCGTTAGAACCTCATTCAGTTGCATTTAGAACCTCATTCAGTTGCATTTAGAACCTCATTCAGTTGCCTTTAGAACCTCATTCAATAGCTGTTAGAACCTCTTTCAGTTGCCTTTAGAACCTCATTCAGTAGCCTTTAAATCCTCATTCAGTAGCCTTTAAATCCTCATTCAATAGCCTTTAGAACCTCATTCAGTTGCCTTTAGAACCTCATTCAGTTGCCTTTAGAAACTCATTCAGTTGCCTTTAGAACCTCATTCAGTTGCCTTTAGAACCTCATTCAGTTGCCTTTAGAACCTCATTCAATAGCCGTTAGAACCTCATTCAATAGCCGTTAGAACCTCATTCAATAGCCGCTAGAACCTCATTCAGTTGCCTTTAGAACCTCATTCAGTTGCCTTTAGAACCTCATTCAGTTGCCTTTAGAACCTCATTCAATAGCTTTTAGAACCTCATTCAATAGCTGTTAGAACCTCATTCAGTTGCCTTTAGAACCTCATTCAGTTGCCTTTAGAACCTCATTCAGTAGCCGTTAGAACCTCATTCAGTAGCCGTTAGAACCTCATTCAGTAGCCGTTAGAACCTCATTCAGTAGCCGTTAGAACCTCATTCAGTAGCCGTTAGAACCTCATTCAGTAGCCGTTAGAACCTCATTCAGTAGCCGTTAGAACCTCATTCAGTAGCCGTTAGAACCTCATTCAGTAGCCGTTAGAACCTCATTCAGTAGCCGTTAGAACCTCATTCAGTAGCCTTTAAATCCTCATTCAGTAGCCTTTAAATCCTCATTCAATAGCCGCTAGAACCTCATTCAGTTGCCTTTAGAACCTCATTCAGTTGCCTTTAGAACCTCATTCAGTTGCCGTTAGAACCTCATTCAGTTGCCGTTAGAACCTCATTCAATAGCCGTTAGAACCTCATTCAATAGCCGTTAGAACCTCATTCAGTTGCCTTTAGAACCTCATTCAGTTGCCTTTAGAACCTCATTCAGTTGCCTTTAGAACCTCATTCATTTGCCTTTAGAACCTCATTCAATAGCTGTTAGAACCTCATTCAGTTGCCTTTAGAACCTCATTCAATAGCTGTTAGAACCTCATTCAGTTGCCTTTAGAACCTCATTCAGTAGCCGTTAGAACCTCATTCAGTAGCCGTTAGAACCTCATTCAGTAGCCGTTAGAACCTCATTCAGTAGCCGTTAGAACCTCATTCAGTAGCCGTTAGAACCTCATTCAGTAGCCTTTAAATCCTCATTCAGTAGCCTTTAAATCCTGATTCAGTTGCCTTTAGAACCTCATTCAGTTGCCGTTAGAACCTCATTCAATAGCCGGTAGAACCTCATTCAATAGCCGTTAGAACCTCATTCAGTTGCCTTTAGAACCTCATTCAGTTGCCGTTAGATCCTCATTCAGTTGCCGTTAGATCCTCATTCAATAGCCGGTAGAACCTCATTCAATAGGCGGTAGAACCTCATTCAATAGCCGGTAGAACCTCATTCAATAGCCGTTAGAACCTCATTCAGTTGCCTTTAGAACCTCATTCAATAGCTGTTAGAACCTCATTCAGTTGCCTTTAGAACCTCATTCAGTTGCCGTTAGATCCTCATTCAATAGCCGGTAGAACCTCATTCAATAGGCGGTAGAACCTCATTCAATAGCCGGTAGAACCTCATTCAATAGCCGTTAGAACCTCATTCAGTTGCCTTTAGAACCTCATTCAATAGCTGTTAGAACCTCATTCAGTTGCCTTTAGAACCTCATTCAATAGCTGTTAGAACCTCATTCAGTTGCCTTTAGAACCTCATTCAATAGCTGTTAGAACCTCATTCAGTTGCCTTTAGAACCTCATTCAATAGCTGTTAGAACCTCATTCAGTTGCCTTTAGAACCTCATTCAGTAGCCGTTAGAACCTCATTCAGTAGCCGTTAGAACCTCATTCAATAGCTGTTAGAACCTCATTCAGTAGCCATTAGAACCTCCATTCATTAGCCTATAGAGCACGGGGCACCAACCTTTTGAATGCTGAGGGCTACTTTGAAGGTACCGAGTCATAGGCAGGGCTACTAATACTGAGCTGTGAACTACAGGGGTTCACCCAAACCTCGTACATTATAAACATCTCATTTAGCAGCCAGTAAAACCTTCGTCTTTAGCTTTTTCCAAGGTCATTATTGATCTCTCTCCATCTTGTCAGTTCTCCATCATGTTCGCATGTTCCACCTAACTCGCTGCTGTGATGCGTTTGTGTGTTTCAGGTGATATGGGCGTCGGGAAGTCGTGTTTGCTGCATCAGTTTACAGAGAAAAAGTGTGAGTATTCTTTGCTCCGCCTCCTTCAGCTCAGGCCCAGGAGCTCCCTGGGGTTTTAGTTCCCACGGTGACGGGCATCTGTCTGTGTCTGCAGTCATGGCTGACTGTCCTCACACCATCGGTGTAGAGTTTGGGACGAGGATCATGGAGGTCAACGGGCAGAAGGTGAAGCTGCAGATTTGGGACACAGCGGGTCAGGAGCGCTTCAGGGCTGTTACCCGGTCCTACTACAGAGGGGCCGCAGGGGCCCTCATGGTCTATGACATCACCAGGTATGAAGGTGGGCGGGGCAGAGGTAGGAGTGTCCACTAGGGGTGGAACGGTTCACAAAATCCACGATTCGGTTCGGTTCACGGTTTCGTGGTCACGGTTTTCGGTTCGGTTCGGTATATGTTGATTGTTAGGAAAATCTACTATGTCTTGTAAAGTACAATGCATATGTATAAACCCTGTGAACGTTTAATTTAATATGACATATTTAAAAAAAATCCTCATCATCCAACAGATGTTCAGTTTCTGCCTAAATATTTTCTTTCTGTTGTTGATTTTTGTATCAGGAATAACTAGGATCATCCATAGTTTGTATGAACTCTGTTTGTTCTCTGCTTCCAAACTCATCATCTCTTCATTCATTCCTGCAATAAGAATTTTCTTTTAAAGTTGTGAGATTCGCTCTAGAATCTCACAACTTCTTCCTGGTCTGTTGAAGCACCAATAGTCCGCATCCAATTATTTAATTAATTGCTCTTAGTTTTTTGGATTATATATGAACTATGCTCTAATTTCTAGTTACCGATCTGTTTTTACTATAATTTAATTTGAAAAACCAGGTCTTCTGTACATTCTTTTTCCTGTTTGGTGCGATTGCAATAGCAGGTCTTGATCTGGACGGACCAGAGGGGAGCAAAAAAGAGCTCAGTTCCATATTTCGACGGTGAAGGACGGAGAAGACGTACGAGGACAGAGAAGTAGCGGAGGATGTGGAACAGCTCTCATTGATTTACATGACAGACACAACGTACTTGAGCAGAGCGGAGCGCTGACGGAGTATGTGGAATCTGGGGGTAAAGGAGGACAAATGCACGTCGGACAGTGCAACGAAAATCCGGACTTTCCGCCCTAAAGCTGGACATCTGGCCACCCTTCTTCCAACTCCTGTTCTTTCCCACTCGCCATACCCACACAATTCTCCACAACAACTGATTTTTTTCTGCTACGCTGCTTCTTCTTCTTGTTTACTACTGGTGGTTGGCTTTGGTCGCAGTACCGCCACCTTCTGCTCTGGAGTGTAAACGCTTCACCTATGAGAAAAAGGAGCAGCGCATGAACCGAACGAAACACACACGAACCGAACCGAGACAGTCGAACCGAACGATTCGGACGGTTTTCATAAACCGTTCCATCCCTAGTGTCCACAGTTATAGAGTCATGCAAAGAAGTTTAGTCTGAACTATATGCTAACGCCGCTGCTTTATAAACAAATGTTTATAAACTGACAGCTCTGAGGTCAGTGTTTATAAATTCTGATGTCTTATCTGTTTTTATTTGGCTGCTCTGAAGGATCTCAGTCCTTCAGTCTTTACGGTCTTTAATTTTTCAACTGTAATCTCCTATTTAATGCCAGAAGAATAACTCTGATCTGAAACCTTTTTAGAGACGGAATATTAGGAGTGTTTCCATTAGCTTTTTTAATGCGCATTTTTAAGGTATCGCATCAGTTTGATCAAAACGGAAAAATTTGACTTCCTGTTTACTACAGCCATGTGTGACGGGAACACGCTCTGTGATGCTTAGTTAATTTGCTTCAAACCAAACGGAAACAAAAGAAATTCACTTTGTTTTGAAAAGTTTGCTTAAAATTAGAATTTCAGTTGAATGTAAGCTATGGCTGCTACTAACCATTATTTTGCAAATTGATTAATTTGTCGATTATCTTTTAGATAATCGGATAGCAAAAGGTTTATTAAAGAAGGTTTTTTTGAGAATTAAACCAAGTGAAACTAAAACTTTTCCTGGATACAGCAAACTGACAGATGAAAAACTATTTTATTTTAGAATAGAAAATCCTTTTACTGTCCCACAATCGGCAAATAGTGGTGTTACAGCAGCAGCATCAGGTTATATATATATATATATATATATATATATTAGGGGTGGAACGATTCACAAAATCCACGGTTCGGTTCGATTCACGGTTTCTGGTCACGGTTTTCGGTTCGATTCGATACATATTGACTGTTACACCGAAATTCCATAAAAAATTATGAAATTAATGAAAAAATCCCCCCAAAAATAATGAATTGTAATTATTTTAAATGATCCACGGAAACCCTGGATCATTTCCGTATGTTTTGCTGCTTTGAGTTTAATCATCTGGCACATGCTCTCTAACCTGACAACAGCCAGATGCATGTCTCGCTCATGTCTCGCTCCGCCACATGCATCTGGCTGTTGTCAGGTTACATGCCCTCTACCATCTCCAAGGAACTCAGAGGGGAGCGGACGAAGCCACAGTGGAGGCTGTAGGCTTTGATTTGAGCAGCCGGTCTGGAGCGCAGCGGAGCGGAGCGCTGACGGAGTATGAGGGATTTCGGGGTTAGCATGACATGTTGCTGTTAGCATAAACAAAACGTGTTGCACAATGCTTGCACACTGTTGCACTTTTATCCACAACTTTCTTTCCGCCGTCATCGTAGGTCACTCTAAATTCAAAGTGGTCCCATACAGCAGACCTATAAAGTGCTGCTGGCGCGTCTTCCAACTCCTGTTCTTTCCCACTCGCCATACCCACACGATTCTCCACAACATCTGATTTTTTTCCCTGCTACACCCGGCTACGCTGCTTCGCTTCTTCTTCTTCTTCTTGTTTACTACTGGTGGTTGGCTTTGGTCGCAGTACCGCCACCTTCTGCTCTGGAGTGTAAACGCTTCGCCTCTGAGAAAAAGGAGCAGCGCATGAACCGAACGAAACACACGCGAACCGAACCGAGACAGTCGAACCGAACGATTCGGACGGTTTTCATAAATCGTCCCATCCCTAATATATATATATATATATATATTTTTTTTTTTTTTTTTTTTCTCTCTCTTTTTATTGCTATTAATACTAGGGCTGAACGATTTTGGAAAATAATCTAATTGCGATTTTTTACTTTGATATTGCGATTTAATGCGATTTTTCTATCCTGGTTTAATTTCTCATGTCTTTTTAAACATATACAAACAAATCTGTTTCATAATAATCAGATTTATTTAAAGCACAGATTACAATAATAAACGAAACAAATCTGTGTGCGTTTACCTTATTAACATCTTCTCATGTTTCATGAAACGCGATATATAAACATAGACTCCACTCCTTAAACATTGTCAGATTTTAACAGGACAGTCTATAAATAAATAAACAAAATAAGAAACGAAATGAATCACTGATCTCCAGTCAGTGGCATCAAACATACTAAAGTGCAGCATAGTATACCGAATGAATTACTTCTTTCAACCTGTAAACATTTTAATAGGTTAACCAAACTCTCAAATAAACAGAAAATAAATTAGTGTATGACCTTTTTAAATCCTAAGAAACGTTTTGAACAATCATATAAATTATATATTCACTCAGTAAGAGCAGCAAACAACTATTGTAAAGTGCAAAAAACATATGGCACTGTAAGCCACAAAGATTTGTCTCTGTATTTTTTTAGAAGCTCACAGATTTTTTGCCAGGAAAATCAGCATGTCAACTTTTGCTGGTTTCAAAGAGGAGCGAGTGCAAGTCACTATATTCCCTCCAGCACTGAAAAGACGCTCTGAAGGAGCACTTGTGGCTGGGACACAAAGATACTTGCGGGCCATGTTGCACAGTTGTGGAAAGTTAATCCTGTGCATCTTCCACCAGGCCAAGGGGTCTTCCTCTCCATCGATGGTAGGAGTCATGAGGTAGCTGTTTATCTCTGCCTCAACAACATCTTCGGGTTGCATGCAAGAAACAGAAGAGCCCACAGCAGTCTTGAAGAAACTCCCAAGAGACTTCTTGCCCTTTTCAACAGAGGGCTTTGCATTTTTAGGCATCGTTGTGGTTTCAGTACGACTTCTCTTCTCCTGTCAGATAACAAAAAAAATACAGTAATTAGTGTTGAGGTTAAATTATAACTAGAAAGATATATTGTGTTTATGGAATCATAAATGTGATAATTACCAACCTGGTTATATGCACGCCTTGCTGGTTGCATAATTTCAGTTTTGAGTCGGGTCTTAATGGTGGGAATGTTGTCTGCAGCGATGTACTTGGTTTTGAACCTTGGGTCTAGAAAGGATGCAACATCCAAAAGCTCCTGGATGCTGGGGTCACTGTACTTATCGGTTAGGTAATCCAGGGTCTTGGTCTTAATTGACCTTGTCAGGTCAGTGTCCTCTTGGTTTTCAGCCAGGACTGATGTGGACAGAAGGTGAAGAACTGGATTTAAGTAAGAGATGCTGACGTACTCCTCTCCAGAGAGAGCATCCGTAAACTCCTGGAGAGGATGCAGTGCCTTGTGAATGGACTCCAACACCTCAATATCCTGCCAGGTTGGGATCAGGGAGCGTGCATATCGGTCACCTGACAACACCTGAGTGATGGCTTTGAGCTGCTCTAGCACCCTGGCAATCATCATTTCTTTGGATCCCCATCTTGTAGGGCATTTCTAACCGGTTTTCCCCACTCAGTGACACACCCACTGAGAAGCCCACTCTGGTGATTGGCAGCTCCATAGTCAGAAACGTGGCATTAGAGACACCAGGGACCATAGTCAAATGTTTGCCGGGGGCCAGAACGGGCGACATCAAATCCTACCTGAAACTACTGGCTAAGGATAAGGTTAAATACAGTAAGATTGTTATTCACGCTGGTGGTAATGACACCCGGTTACGCCGATCGGAGGTCACTAAAATTAGTGTTGCTTCGGTGTGTAAGTTTGCCAAAAAAATGTCGGACTCCGTAATTTTCTCTGGTCCCCTCCCTGATCTGACCAGTGATGACATGTTTAGCCGCATGTCGTCATTCAACCGCTGGTTGTCTAGGTGGTGCCCTGAAAACAACGTGGGCTACATTAATAATTGGCAATCCTTTTGGGGAAAGCCTGGTCTGATTCGGAGAGACGGCATCCATCCCACTTTGGATGGTGCAGCTCTTCTTTCTAGGAATCTGGCCACATTTATTAGTCCTCCAAAACCCTGACCACCCAGGGTGCAGACCAGGAAGCAGAGTTGTAGTTTAACACACATCTCTGCAGCT